TTTTGGTTTTTCGAGACAGGCTTTCTCTGTGTAGCTTTAGCTATTCTGGAGCTCATTTTGTAGTTCAAGCTGGCCTCTCACTCTCAGAATTCTGCCAGCCTCTGCCTCACAAATGCTAGGATTAAAGATGTGAGCCACCACCACTTAGCTTTTTCTTTCTCTCTCTCTTTCTTTGATAAGTTAATAAGGAAACAAGTCATAGCAGACATACCATCGTACACCACCAACTATTATCATTTCATGAAAGATTGCATAATGCTGATTTCCTGATGTTTCTCTTCTACATTACTAAGTGGTTTTCTAAGAAATGGAATACTTTGTTGACTGGGGGTTTAGTTCATTCTGAAGTATAGTTCTCAAAGTTAGTTACTGGTTTTCACCATTTTAGAAGGTAGCTGTTTGGTTTGGTTTGGTTTGGTTTAGGTTTTTTGGTCTGCCTTTCTCCTTTTTGAGTAGTGTTGGTACTTGTGAGTTATTACTGACTCCAAGTGTTTTAATCAACCAGATGTAAATTCTCACACTTTTTTTGTTTGATTTTTGTTTTTTGGGATGAAGTTTCTCAGTATATCCTTGACTATTCTGTGCTAGAACTAGCTCTGTAGACTAGGCTGGCTTGAACTCATAGAGGTGCATCTGCCTCTGCCTGGGAATATACTACCACCCCTGGCAAAAATTCTCACAATTTTTAACAAATAGGAAAGAGGAGCTTTCCAACTAATTGCTATGTCTTTTAGCTGCACAACACTGTATTTTTTTAAATTGTGGAACTGTTTAAACATATAAGTATATAACTTAGTATACAGTATATCTGTTGGTCAGATTTAACAGTATTTTTTCCAATGTTGGGCTAATACCTTCTTGACTTTTCTCATCATGATCTTGCTGTGTAACCCAAGCTAGCCTCAAACTCAATTTTTTTTTTTGCCTCCAGAGTGCTGGGATTTTGGACATGGGTTATGATTTTGATTACATTGATTTTGAAAGTTTATTTGTTGTCTGTCATGATTCCACACATAAAATCATCCATTTCTCTAAGAAGTCACAATTTCTTTTTAGTAAGAAATGTTATCAGATATAAATCTTGGCATTAAGGTTATTAAAAATGTGCTAAAATGTAGTGGTTTTTTTTTTCATCATGTTCCTTGTCATAAAGGTAGTGTTATTCTATAAACAGTTACTCATATTTGGGTAGAGGAGGAAAGACACTACTCAGATGTAACAAAGAGTTTTATATTTCTATGTTTAAATTTTGTTATTATTGTGTGTGCCATGATGTTGGGGTTGGAGTGTAATAATGGAGATCAACTGTGGAGTCAGTTCTTGCATCCCATCATTACATGAGTGCCAGGTTCTCCAGCAGATAGGGCTGAGGCAGGGCAGGTCCCACTGGTCTCTCCCTAGGGCTGAGTGGGATGGTGAGTGTACCCAGATACACACACACACACACACACACACACACACACACACGCACGGCCACGGGAAGAAACACAATGAGTTGGGAGTCTGTTGAAGCAGGATCTCGTTTTATTGCATCAGATAGGAACTTATATAGGTGGAGTAAGGAATAAGGGCCAATGATATCCTACCAGTTAGCAGTGGCTGGGCAGAGGTGGGTTTAGGTCCAACAATGCTAAGTCACTCATATGCGGAAGTTATGGCCAGAGACAGGTCACCAAACTGGAGTTAGGCTCAGGAAGTTACACTGGGCCTCGCACCCAGGCCTCATGAGGCCCAACACATGAGTACTGGGGATTAAACTCAGGTTTGTCAAGCAGAGCCACCTTGCACACTCAGTATTTCTCTTTTAATAGTCAAAACACTAGACATGGTTAATACATTGTATAAATGATAACACATTGGTATTTTTGTTCAGTTTACCTTTATTACAACTTAAGGAAATCTTCAATTTATAAATATATGATCTTTTACAGGTTGCTTGTACCGTACTCCATGCTGTTTTGTTTTAAATAATTTAATACGATTTTCTCATAGTAATGGTATAAATGATGAAACATTACAAATGATGAAACATTATTAAGTTGAATATTTCAAATACAAAAAAAAAATTTTAACTATGTCCCAGATCCAAATGTTTTGAACATTGATTTAATGCCACAAGTAGAAAATTCCCCACCATGAAACTACCTCTTGCACAAATCATCAAAAATACTACATAAAATTTGGTTCTAGAAAGATGGCTAAGCAGTTATAAGTATTACTGGTCTTGCAGAGGACCTGATTTGGCTTCAAACATCCAGCAGCTCATAACCACCAACTGTAGTTACAGGGGTCCGGCACCCTCTTGTGGTCTCTGAGAGTACCTGCACACATGTGGTGCACAAACATACATAGGATAAATACATCTTTAAAGTATATAAAATTCAAGTTTGGTATATATACAAAATGCTAATGAATTTTGTGGTTAGATTTGAGTCCCATTTCCAAGCTACTACATACATGCAGAAGTCCAAAGACCAGAAAAGATCCAAACCCTCTAGTTTCAAGCATTTTAGATATTAAACTTATATTACATTCCCAGCTTTTAAATTCTGTGTATATTTTCAAATACACATAGATATTTACTTCTTTTCCTTATCGATATTCCACTGAAATAAAATGTCTAGAAACAGGAAGTGAAAAGACTTGAGTGATTAGGAGAACTGTCAAGGGATGACAGTTGAACATACCTTTGTTTGTGTACCAGAAGGCCTAACTGCACTTTCTGCTCACCTCTCCAGACTTCACTTTACTTGTCCCTGCACTTTGACTGCAGATTACTGGCACTACTCCTAGGTGAAACAACAGACAGATTTTCAATACAGAAATTGGAAATGGCTAAGCTTCCAAAACCATCTTTGTTCTGATAGTTAGATTGCCTGCTGCCTTCCTGCTCTTACCTAGAGGAGCACTGCTGTTAACACCTGCCTGGCCCACACATAGCTCTTTCTCTTCAGTCCCCTCTGGCTTGCAGTTAGTCTACCCAAAAAGCAGACTATCTTTCCAATAATGGAGAGAATCTAATGAGGTCACCAGACTTGTGATGAAAACTTAATGACAGGAAAAAGAGACAGATAACCGGGGGAAATGCCAATGGAAAAAAAAAACAGAAGTAATCACAGAGAATTTTATTTTTAAAACATAACTCTGTAGCATGTAGAGAGCCACAAAGACAGCACTTCCATTAAGCCACAGGAGGATACACTGCCAGATTGAAAGGGCACATCTGATACAGAAATAATCAACCAGCATGTCGTCCTTTCAAAACTGTAGAATTTGTGAGAGAAACAAAAGTTCCTTAATGAAGTCATTTCCATAGTGGCAGGTATTGGACTGCTTTTAAACTTTACCCGTAACTATATTAAGACAGTGCAGTACTGCCCTGAGACTTTGAAGCTAGTCTGAGCACAAGCTGCATCTTGCCAAACTGTTAAGAGTGGGAGTAGAAGGTCTGGAGAGATGGCTCCGTGATTATGAGCTCTTCCAGAGGACAATTCCCAGCACCCAGATTGGGTGGCTCACAACCAGCTGTAACTCCAGCTGCAGGGAACCAGACAATTCTGGCTTCTGTGGGTGCCCACACTCATGAGTACATAACCACATAAAGACATACACAATTACTCATAACTAAAAATAAACCTTAAATCAAAAAAGGGGGTGTTGATGAATTGATCTTAGGCATTTGGTGGCTTAAAGTTTATCTTATAATTGAAAGAAATGAGTGGGTTATATGTTCACCATTAACTTCCTTAACTGAAATTCATCATTTAATTTTTCACAAAATATTTTCATTTGGGCATTTGCTCCTCCGATCCTGCCTAAGGTATAGTGTGAGGAAATTGAGAAGAGATTACAAACAAAATAAATAATTGTGGAATCATATTGCTCATTTAAAAACTGTGAAAAACATAAATTATGCTTTATATCCTTTCTCTGAGTAATCTCAAGTGTTCCATACATCACACATAGAGCTAACACATAATTTCTCATGTTTCCCAATGATTCCTACATATCATCATAGCTGGCTGATATGCCATATGGCCAGCAGAGCCAACAACATCAGTGTCTTCTCCCTTCAGTATTGAAGTGACATTACCTGACTTATTTTTTTTTTCTTTTTGAGATAGGGTTCTTTGTATCCCTAGCTGTCCTGGTATTCACTCTGTAGACCAGGCTGGCCTTGAACTCATGGAGATCCACCTGTCTCTGCCTCTCTAGTATTGGGATTAAAAACTTGCACTACCAACAGCCAGCGTATCTGGCTTAAATTTAAAAATATTTTGACTGCTATGTTGAAAACAGACTTGTGGGGTGGAGTGTTAGGTATGGGTAGGAAAAAAAGGAGCCAGTTTGGCCAGTGCTGCATGTGAAAAATGGCCATGGCTCTGTCATTGTGCAGTAGTGAAGTTGGTCAGGTTAGATCCTGAGTGGTAGAAGGGTGAGTGGGTTAAGGGAGGCTCAGAGCAGACTGAGGAGTAACAGGAGACCGACCCAAGAGTTGCAAAGATGTTCTGTTTTGTTGTTTTCTCAGACAGCTACTGAAGTGCTAGAATATAAACACTCAAGTTGTTTAATCTTAACTACTTTACAAATAAGGAGCTCAGTAAAAAATTCCTGAGCCTAGTTGTAGTTGTACATGCCTTTAATCCCAGCACTTGGGAAGCAGATACAGGCGTATCTCTATGAGTTTGAGGCCAGGTTGGTCTACAGAGTAAATTCTAGGAAATGCTCCAAAGCTACACAGAGAAATCTGTATCAAATAAACAAAAAATCCTGAAGTAACAAAGGAGCACGAAATGAAAATTTGAACATCTATGCTTTAGAGGATTGTGCTGAATAGTTTACCTCTGCAAAGTTTGGATCGTAGTTTTAAATGTGATAAGATTACATGCATTTGATAAAATGTCCTGATGTGTACCTTGAATAAATAAGTTTTAAATGTAGCAATCTTATCTATGAAACATCAGTAATGAAGCTGCATGATTTTTTTCTTGCCTCTATAGGTATGGTCTGAATATGCGTTGTTTGGCAGCTCGGGTCAACTACAAGACTTTGATTATCATCTGTGCGCTATTCACCTTGGTCACAGTACTTTTGTGGAACAAATGTTCCAGCGACAAAGCAATCCAGTTTCCTCGGCACTTGAGCAGTGGATTCAGAGTGGATGGATTAGAAAAAAGAACAGCAGCATCTGAAAGTAACCACTATGCCAACCACATGGCCAAGCTGCAGCCAGAGGAGGCATTTCCTCAGGAGCAACAGAAAGCACCCCCTATCGTTGGGGGCTTCAATAACAATGGGGGAAGCAAGGTGTTAGGACTCAAATATGAGGAGATTGACTGCCTCATAAATGATGAACACACAATTAAAGGGAGACGAGAGGGGAATGAAGTTTTTCTTCCATTTACCTGGGTAGAGAAATACTTTGATGTTTACGGAAAGGTGGTCCAGTATGATGGCTATGATCGATTTGAATTCTCTCATAGCTATTCCAAAGTCTATGCACAGAGAGCCCCTTACCACCCTGATGGTGTGTTTATGTCCTTCGAAGGCTACAATGTGGAAGTCCGAGACAGAGTCAAGTGTATAAGTGGAGTTGAAGGTTAGTATCTGTTTGCTATACTTGGGTTTTTCCAGCTTGATTGTATTAAGGACTAAGAAACTGAAGATGTTAATTATGCAGCCACCATATAGCTTAATGGGAAGAGACCTTTCACTGTTGCTCCATCTCAGCAAGAAGAAACAGGCAAAGTGTAAACCTGTTGAAGCTTTTTGGTTGGTATGATTTAAGGGCACCAATAAGCCCAGACTGAATAAATAGGATTATTCCATTAACCTGCCTCAGAGTCTCATCAGTGAGGTTAAAGCACCAATCTCCAGAAATTGTGCTTCAAAACAGTTTAGTTACTGGGACAGGGATCTGGCTAAGTGATACAGCATTTGCCTAACATGTGCAAGGCCTAGCGTTCAGTTCCTGCTATCACAGAAACATATATATCTCAATAAAAACTGTACTAATACAGGGACTAGACAGACAACGAGACCTGGGCTACTGGTAAGCTTTCTAGCACCCATACTCTTTCTCCAAGGTGTAGTCCTCTGAAGCTAAATATTTCATCACTTAATAAAAGATCAATTATATATGATCTTTTTTAAAAATTAGTGATTACAAAGATGCACAATATTGTACAGTCAGTGTAAGAATGATCAATAGAACACAGCATGAAGACTGAAAAAAAAAAGCTTCAAGTTGTGGATAACCTGAAACATACCGCAGACATGCAGCAGTGAATAGTCCTCAGTATAGCTCTTCAGTGTCTGGGTTTAGTGATTGGTTGTTTGTTTTTTATAGGTGTGCCATTATCTACACAATGGGGACCTCAAGGCTATTTCTACCCAATTCAGATTGCACAGTATGGACTAAGTCATTACAGCAAGAATCTAACTGAGAAACCCCCTCACATAGAGGTATATGAGACAGCAGAAGACAGGGACAGAAACGTCAGACCTACTGAATGGACCGTGCCCAAGGGTTGCTTCATGGCAAGTGTGGCTGACAAGTCTAGATCTACCAATGTTAAACAGTTTATTGCTCCAGGTGAGTTTCCTTCTATATGTGTCTTACATTTAAATTGACTCACAACAAACTGGTGCACCTTTAAAATTTTAATGGTTTTTAAAACATAATAGCAAGCCCTTTCTTTATGTTACATACATAAATAATGTCATTGAGTGAATTCCTCCAAAAGGAAACAGCCAAAAAACAAAAACCAGAGTTATGAAAAGGAGTTAATTTACTTTGTGAAGAACCAAGCTGTGGAGTGATGCTAAAATGTACATAGACCTGTATTCCGCCAGGGTCTGTATACCCCAGAATAAAGTTCTTTGGTTTGGTTAGTCTTTGGTACTGGAATCTAACCCAGGACTTTGTACATACTAAGCAAGCATTCTGCCATTGAGTACATCCCCAGTCTTTGGTTTAGAATGTCAGCATAACAGAGTTGAATTTTTAAATGATTCTGCCCTAGGTTAAATTTTATTTTAACTGCAATAACCATTCTTTCCTTTGCATATTTTTAAGCAATAGCATTTTTTCAAGAAATTATAGCATTACCAAATAGGCCTGCTCTCATACTAAATTTTGTTAATATACTAAATTATCTGAAACTTCATATAAAACCATTTTCATTAATAAAACCATTTATAAGATCAAATTAACCTTATGCAACATTTTCCTCTTACTGAGACAGTCTCATTAATTAGGATGTAATGTATTTTCCTGTACTAATCAATATCCATGAGAATTAATGAGCCTATTACTTAAAAAGACAATGAAATAATCTTAGCACCTCAGGCTTAATAAAATGTTGTCAGGTACAGAACTCATTCCCCCTCCCTCCAAACTGGAATAGGTAAAAAGAAAATTGAGGATAAGACCTCCTTTTTATTTCTTCCTTGTTCTTTATTGATTACAGACTTGGAAAGCCAAAACACAAATCCATTCATTCTACAGGACCTTGATAATGCCTTGCAAAGAAGGAACGACCTTTAGTTTTATTGAGACTAGAACATCTTCTCCCATGATGTTTTGTAATACCCCAGTACATAGATGTTCTTTACTTGTTATATTTCCCATGGCTAGGTGAGAAGTTAAAAGGAATTGCTTAAGAATAGTTGTTTTATACCTAGAAGGTTACTGTAGCAGGAAATTACTATACTATATGAAGCAAAAGAACATTTGGTTTTGGGTGGACCCAAGGAATTTGGTTTTACTTTGATAGTGCTGTCTAGATGCTGGTAAAAGTTGTAGCCTTTATCTGATTGCCTAGAGTCTCTGGAGGGTTTTCTTAGAATGGTCTAATAACACTGTCCTGTTGACAGCAACACATTTCAGCGATTCTTTTAGATGCCTTAAGGAATGCAAAGATAGATTCACACATCCTGCAATGAGGAATCTTAACCTGTCATTCATTCAGTGACTGGAGGGAAAAAAAAAAACACTTTTTTGGGTGGTTTCAAGCACACAGAGAACTGTTGAAAGCCATGTTGTTAGGAGCATACACCCACTCATAGTTACTCCCTATTGGTAAGTCTGCTAGCCAGGAGTGGCATTCACATGTTATTCTGGGTGTTCTGGGAGCTGTGTTGTAGGGGAGGAAGAATGACTGCAGCTCCATGGAGTGAGAATCAGGGGAGTAAGGTGGCTTCATTGAAACATAGCTGTGAGGCATGAAGAGTGAAAATACCACTTTATGGGAAACAGTTCACAGCATCATTGTTGAGAAGAAGTTGAAGTTTGTTCTTAAAACACAGGTGTAAGTAAACTGGGGCTCTGGAGAACCAGAGATTATTTTTCTTTCTTGGTCTTTTCCTCAAAGGAGTTGTTTTTTCCCCAAGAGGGAACAAAATCACTGAGTAGAGAACTATTTTATAAGCAACAAGTAGTAGTCCACCTGTGATCCCATCACTTAGGAAGCAGAAGCAGGAAGATTATATGTTCCAGAGCAGCCTGAACTACACAGTGAGAGCCAGCCTGAAAAAATTAACATACACACATGGTGGGAACCATTTTATTTCTACAATATATTTTTTTATTTATTAAATAATATTTTCTTTTTTAAAAAAAATTATATAGCTGTAGAAATGTGTGTGTGTGTGTGTGTGTGTAGAGAGAGAGAGAGAGAGAGATAGCTAATAGGTAGGTAAGTAGGTAGGTAGGTAGGTAGGTAGGTAGGTAGGTAGATAGATAGATAGATAGATAGATAGATAGATAGATAGATAGATAGATTTAAATGGAGTTTCAGAATAGCCCTAACTGGCCTCAAACTCTCTATGTAGTTGAGGATGGGATTACCTTGAACTCTTGATCTTTCTGCCTCTTTCCCAGGACTGAAATTGCAGGCACATCCCACCATACCTGGCTCTCTTCTAAATTTTCAAATTGAATGATACAGAATTGAATGCTTGTAACTAACTTTCTCACAGCATTCTTTTCCTTCCACTTTCATGATCTTTCCTCCTCCTTGCTCTCTTGTTTAGCTCTTTTCTCCCAAATTCTGCTGAGTACTTCCCCTCCCCCCTTTTTTCCTGCCTAACCCTTATCTCTCAGCATTCATCCTGGTTTGAGTAGTGCTGTTTCTCATTTGATGTAGTAAATGTGTTGATGAAGAATGAATAAAGGTAGCTTATGCTTTATGTGAGGATACTGACTTAAAGACTGTTCTGTTTTTCCAGCTTTACTGAATGTAACTGACAAATGAATTTGTATATGTTTAAGGTGTACAGTATGATGCTTTGATGCTGGTACATGTTGTAAGTGGTTACCAGGATCAAGATAAGTAGTTTACACAGGGCTGGAATCCAGCACCCATGTCAGGTGGCTCACAACCACATATATGTAACTCTTCTTCCAGGGGATCTGATGTCCCTAGCCTCCATGACACCTGCACTCATATACACAAATTCACACAGAAATACATAATTAGAAGTAATAAAAATCTTTTAAAAACATGAAAACAAAAGTGAATATTTATGGGGTAAAATATTCATTACCCCATAGAATTAGTGTGTATGTTGGTAAGAGAGTAGAAAATGACAGCTTATCTTAAGCATGTGATACAGTATTATCTCTAGTTTACTATGCTGAGCATCAGGTATCTGAAAACTTGTATTCTTTGACCTCCAACTCTCTATTTTCTGCATTTTCCAGTTTCTAAGTACATCATTCTATTTTATAAGTTCAGCTTTCTTACTAACTACTAGTAATATTTAATGTAATTAGAGTATAGTAGAAATTCCACATTCAGTATCTGCCTTTCATAAGGATTAGCTCTCAGATGGCAGGATTTCTTTCTCTTTTACAACTGAAAATTACAAGCAGACCACACTATCCATTCACCCATCACCACACACAGGTTATTTCCATGTCTTGACTATTTCCACTAATCTTTCAATGAACATAGGATATCTCTCACCCACACATCTCTTTGTCATACTAATTTTGTTTCTTTTGGCTAAGTATGGACCCAGAAGTGGAACTGCTGGTTCATCTCGGAGTCTTGATTTTAATTTGGGGTGAAGGGGAGGTAAATTCAAAGTGTTGTAATATCAGCACCAATTTACTTTCCCACTCCAAGTGCACAAGGATCCTTTCTCCCCATCACCATGGCCGAACTTTGTTAGTGTCTGTGCTTTCCTTATGTAAGATGGGTGGTATTTTGCTATGGTTTTGTTTGTACTTCCCTTGAGATAAAGGATGAACAACTTTGCATACACCCTGTGGCTATTTGGGAAAATATCTGTTCAGACCCTTTATGCATTCTTTAATTAATTGATTTTGTTTTCTTTTGAGTTCCTTGTGTATCATTAGATATCAACACCTTTTCAGATCTACAGTATGCAGGTGTTTTCTCCTGTTTTGTAGTTTTTGCCTTTTCATTCTTGCCTTTTTTTTTTCTTTTGTTTGTTTCGTTTCATTGTCTTTTCTTTTTTGGTTTTTCGAGGTAGAGTTTCTATGTATAGCTTTGGAGTCTGTCCTGGAATTCTCTCTGTAGACCAGGCTGGCCTTGAACTCACAGAGATCTGCCTGTCTCTGTCTCCTAAATGCTGGGATTAAGGGCTACCACCTCCTGGCAAGTTTTTGCCTTTTCATTTTGTTAATTGCTATACTTTATAGCTTGATGTAGTCTCACTCTTCTGTTTGGTTTTGATGGTGGTGGTGATAGTTTTTGGTACTTCTGCTTTCAGTGTCATATCAAGAAAATAATTGGCAGCATGTTTGTCCTCCTTTGTCAGTGTACATATGTACCATTTATACCAAACAGAAAGTGTCAGTGGCTCCTAGAAATAACTGCTCAGAAAGTAGGGTTCATGGTCTTGTGGGAGTCCAAGTGGTTGGGAAGTCAAAACTTCTATTAGTAGATTGAAATAGGAGTCTCCAGACAGCACAGTGTTCTTAGAGAGCTCGAAACTTCATCCAGTGTGTTTTCTGTTTGCCACACCATCCCTTATGCCACCACTCTGACCCTGCAGTAGTCTTGCAGATTATATAATTTCCCATGTATGCTGGAAGAAGGAAATTGCAGACTGGTCTCATATAATTGCTAGGAAAACACCAATTGTTGACTGATTGAGAGCTGTGACTTCGTTGTCACTCCTGTATGTCTCAAGAGATCCACCTTTATTAGTGTCAAGGGTTTAGAAAATTTAATAATCGGACATTTTAAAGGGTTCATTCATTACTGAATCCTTTGGACTCATCTGGTATATTAAGACATAATAAGAGAACTGATTAAACCATGTCACTTAATTCAATTTTTATAAATAAAGAGAAAAATTAGGACAGAATTCTGGGAGAAAATGGATTTCAGCTTCCCTTCATCTGGACTAAGATGGGGCATTGTTAACCAGTCTGCCAGACATATGTAATACTTAATAATGATAAAAAATAGGACTCAGGATAGTATGTTGTGCCGAGTGTAATTTAATCTTGTATGATTCATATTTCAATTCTGAATCCCACAGTGTATCAGGTAGCTGAACTCAGCTCCAGATTTCCTTTTACTGGGAAGGAGGAAAGTGCTGGTTAGAGAGAGAATGCATGCTGACATTTTGACAGATAAAATGGATTTTGCTGAACTAAGATTTTACTTTTGTGGTCAGTTTTTAAACCGTCACCCAGTATTATTTGATTCATAAGTCGGCTATAGTGTTCTCATTCTTGATACAATTTCTATAATTGTCTGCTCTATCAAATAAGTCATTAAGAGCCTTGGGACATGTGTGTGTGTGTGTGTGTGTGTGTGTGTGTGTGTGTGTGTGTGTGTGTGTGTGTGTGTGTG